ATAGCCTACAAAATTGTGTGGTTTCGAAGGGACCAGAGAGGCATCATGTTATGGGCATATTAACTAATATTGTATTTGCGGATGCGTAAAAGTAATGCGTCATTCAACCGTAGATAGTATAAGACGTGTCAAATGAATTTACTGGAAGAAAATTGTCATTTTTATTAAAATACTACGAGAAAAAAGATAACCGTTTTATTTTAGTCGAAGCTTTGTTACGATATATACAATGCATCATTTTACACGTAACTTGTTTCTTCTGCCCTTTATACCTTAAACGTTTACCTTTGCAAATTGACAGTTCATCATTTGTTATTGCCGCGATTAACGGTTCAAAACTTTTGCACATACCTACTAGTTATTTATTTAGTATCGTTGCCCATGTGTAGTGACGCTGGGGTGCTTTGAATTCGCTGAAGTCCTCTTCGTATAGAACAAATAGGTATCAACTATATAAGTTAGTACATGTTGCAACGGGAAATTGGGGTTACTCGCACCCACGCTCTGCAAACTGGTAATCCGTGTGGCCCCTCCATGAAAATCCTAATCTTAAACCCAGGCGGTGGAAATTTGAATTGGCGATAGGAGCGACCCGCTTAAATTTTGTTAAGGGTGTCAGGCATGCTTCAACATGCCGCGGGCCTTCCGGAAATCCCGGCTAAGGAAGTCCAAGCTCGGCTGTGGAAAATAGCGGAAAAGCTTCAATTGCCGGTCGCTAAGCCTTGCAAGAATCCTCGAAGGACTACATGCGGCACGGTAGAGTCGGGGGGTGCACGCAAGAAACACGGAGCCATTAAAAAGAAGTTCGGGTTAGGATGCGGGTATAAATTAAAAGATCAAAATTAGATAATAACCAACTAATGGAAGCTCTTTATTGGACAGCTTACTTCTGGATTCCGAGGCCAATTGATTTTACAAGGAAGGTACCTGAGGTGTCCTCCTCCGATTTTGTTCATATTTAAATATGTTATAGAGGACTAAAATCTAAGGGATGTAGGAGATGAAGTTACCGAAGCGAAACCACTGTTAATGAGTCTATATTGTTGTAGATTTACAGAACATTAATTGGATTATTGTTCAAAACCGTAGATATGATTCTCGAGGTGGCGTATATAAAAAATGGATCCAAGTGCTCCGTTCTAAGATCCTTGACCAAGTGCCGTCCCGTCCACTGTTTGCAGGGACCGTCTTGGTCTAGCCGCATCAGTTGTTTAGGCCATGCTCATATCTTGTAAACATTCTCGCCTTTCCTCGCCCATGATTCTGGGAATAGGTCCGCCCATGGACCTCCGATAATTTGCCTTGCCTCTTCGAAATATTTCCTTCAGGGACACGTGCTTTTTTTTTTATCGGAGGATAAACACTTTTAGGGGGTGAAATCAGGCTTCAAAGTTGGCCGTGCAAGGGGGTGAGTTGGCTGTTTCATTTAGAAGCACTCGACCGATTTTCATGAAACAACCATCAAAATGTAGGGAATGAAGAATTATGAAACATGCATTTGGAATTTTTAGAAAAAATTCATTTTTAAGAGGTGAGCCACCCCTTTGAATACTTCTTTTACCCCTTACGCTAGCAGTAATTGTTCTATCCAAATGAAACATTTTTTGTATTGTTCTGATCTATAAATTAACCAAGTTTCATTTGGATAAAGCAATTACTGCTAGCGTAAGGGGTAAAAGAAGTATTCAAAGGGGTGGCTCACCCTTTAAAAATGAATTTTTTCTAAAAATTCCAAATGCATGTTTCATAATTCTTCATTCCCTACATTTTGACGGTTGTTTCATGAAAATCGGTCGAGTGCTTCTATATGAAACAGCTAACTCACCCCCTTGCACGGTCAACCTTGAAGCCTGATTTCACCCCCTCAAAGTGTTTATCCGCCGATAAAAAAAAATACGGGTCCCTTAGATTTTAGTCCTCTATAACATATTTAAAAATGAACAAAATCGGAGGGCGACACCTCAGGTACCTTCCTTGTTAGAAGATCTCAATTTCAAATTGTTTTCACAACCCGTAATGTGGTATGCTAACTCTTATGACGTCGTCGCAGAGTGGCCACATAAAATTGTAAGGTCATTGAAGCTAGCACCCCCACCATATCCAGAATTTTGAACTTCCGGTCTATATTTGTGAGCTATTTATGAGCTCTCAAAAGGCGACAGAAAAAAATTGTGAACTCTTACCGTTTACGAGAAAATGATTTTTTTTAGGTGGGGGTGTTTTAAAGCTTCCATTGAAGTTAACAGCCCCACCCCTAAAAAAATTGTCAAAATAAAAAATTAAGTATGTCAGATTTATGTGCTATTTATGAGCTCTACAACGAGTCCAAATACAACCCTCTCGCACCACCAGAAAGAGGTAAACCCCCCTCCCGTACTACCGGCACACATATCAATTCATAGAATGCAATTTTTTTCTAGAATATTGCAACGCAGGATTTGAGCTATTTATGAACTCTTCGTAGAGGTTAAACTCAAAAATCTCGCCCCCCCCGGAAGGGGTAAACAATCCCTTCAAAAAGTTCAACATATTGTTATTTCTGTCCGTTGAATGAGATATTTGTTGGGGATAATTATCATTTGTTAACGAATTTAAGTTAGCAAAACACGTGACGACTAAACAACCTGTCGATGAAATTTCCCGGGGGCAAAACGGCGAAACATTATAATTTCCATAAAAAATATCATCTTCCACGGACAGAAATAACAAAATGTTATACTTTCTCTAGAAAATTCCCGATGGAAACGTGCGGTGGCGGCGGCGGGGGGGAGGCAGACACCCCATGGAACTAACCTAACCTCCTCCCATTACTAATCTGGGTGGATATTATTTATAAAAATCGTGGCTTAATTCATATAGAAGGCATTTATTAGAAATTGATTTTCACATTAAAAAATTAATCATTTGATACAGTTTATACGTGGCATTGCTGTATTAATCACGAGGAGTAGCAAGACCAGCTACGAGATGAAGCAAAAAAATAGTGGACTGTTTCTTCTATGAATAGTTAATTAGTAATTATTTCTCATGTGAAGGACTTATTTAATTCTCGCCATTTCGGGAGGTCATGTTGCGGCGATATCATAAGGGTTGGCATACCGCAGTAAGGCTTGTATACAAAATTCGAAATTTGGTCCTCCTAGGAGTAATTAATTAGCAATAATAACTCCCCTGAAGGAGTCATCCTTTACTCGCAATTTTCATCTCACTATGCTGCGACTAGCACTAAGGGTGGTGGCATACCCAGTCGGGGGTGAGCAAAAGAATCGATTTTGGCTTATCTGTGAGTAATCTATTAGCAATAAATTCTGGTGTATACGTCAATTATAAATATTTGCTTTATTATTATTCTTATAATGTGAGAATGCTAGCTTTACATAAAGCTGGCATCTCCACCGTTTTTTGGGAAAGTATAAGAGTAAACAATGTTTTTCTTACGCAATAACAGAAAAAAATTAGCAATAAATTTTATTTAATTGTGCTGAAGTGACAATGTCAGGTTTAAGAACATAGATATTCATGTAATGCACTTGTACAGTAATAAGTAGCAATAAATTGAGCAGCATAGTAAAACTATTAGGTTTTCGGTCTCTTCTCTCTTGAGATCCATACGGCTAAAGGTAGTTTAAGGATGAAAGGGGCGGTGTTTCGAATCTGGCTTTTGGATATTCCTAGAGCACTTAAATAGCATAAAAATAGTGCGAGAAATGAACGTGCAAAATTTTGTTATCTCTATCTGTTCTTTCTGGGAGCTTTTATGATTCGGGGTAGTTTTGGGGTGAAAAGGGTAGTCTTTCGAATCTGGCTCTTGGATATCCATACAGCACTAAAATAGCACCAAAATAAGGCAAGAAGGGAATGGGCAAAATGTTATTATTTCTACCTCTTCTGTTTTGAAGTTTATACGATCGGGGGTAGTTTTCGGGTGAAAGGGGTGCTGTTTCGGATCTGGTTCTTCGGTATTTCTAGAGCACTAAAATAGCACCAAAATACTGCGTACTCGTTTTTCTGTCAATGTTTCTGTTCTTTGCACTGCACGCCAGAAGGCGAACAGCTCCTAGTAGTTCTGATTCATTGTTTTTAAACCAGACTTCTACTGGGATAAAGCGTACGGAGGGATGCAACTTCGCGTTACGTTGTTCTGAATGAGAATCGAGGACTTCCTTCGTTCGTTGTAAAAAGCAGAGTATCCCTTTTGGAGTCACGCAAGGACTCGCGGTGCCTCAGAAAAATGTTACCGCGTTGTGGAAGGGAAACAAATTTTTTCTAAGTTTTACGTGATTGGTTCGTTGGCGGAAATGCCCAAAAAAGTCGCCTCCCACGACTTCGGCAACGAGGGTAGCAAAAGGGTAGCCAGGTCGAGTACGGTTTGACCATGCCTTTGTAAGATCACGTACCGTCCGAGGGTATTTTTTATGGTCTTGTTTACCCAACCCTTCGCGAAAGTTCGGTTCCTTCGCACAAAGGCAAACAACATTTGGCGGCCAAATGCACACCGTGAGAAAGCGGAGAAAGTCAAAATTCCCAGGATGGTACGAGGTCTCGTGAAGTTATAACTATGTACTCTAATTACTACACGCATTTTTCTTACGGACGTAACACTTTCCTTTAATGAAGTATGCACTGTGGGGATGCTGAGTGAACGTTCACTCAGCACCACCATCAATTTTTGGGATAAGGGGTGGAGTACTAAAATCAGGGCAGTAGCACTAAAGAAGCACTAAGTTCTCCAATTGGTTTCATTCTATGTTTCCGATGTGGGGGTGCCTACTGTACAGTGGGGGACATGAATGCCTTCCCTGCATATATGGTATGCCAATGCATGATGGAAAGGCATTCATGCCCGTCAGGGTACATACATCTCATAAACGAAAGACCTCTTCATTATTCATTTTTCATACTCTATTAATTAAAGTTGAAATATGTTACACATTAAAATTTTGGAATTTGTTGAGATTTAAAACATCCTACATCTCACCATAATTATATTTTTTGTTTAGGAATGGAATGCCAGTTAGGACACAGCAGCAATATCATTGAACGAATCATCAAGAGTTGTCCGAGACCAATCTTGGATAGTTCCGACAAGGAATATTGTTGTATAGACATCCAAACTGAGAGTTTCTATTGCTGCAATGCTGAAGAAGCTCTGAAAACTGGGTATTTATTTTATTGCTCCTTATTCATCTTGCAAGAACTTGTTTTTAAGATATTCATACCTTATCTTTCTGAAAAATGTCATATTGCAACTGTAAAGAAATTGTCTCATGAGCAAACATGCGAACTCAATCAGGGTTGTAAGATCTACTTTCATGACAATTACTAGTTGCGAACACCTCTAGCGGGATAACATTATGAACCACCTTAAGATGAAGTAAAGCCTCCTTCAAGTTAGTAAAATAGAATAAGACTTTTTTTGAAAGGTATTCCACTGAACTGGCTGCAATTGTAGCACATAATTCGGGAGTATGTAATATACTGACGTTTTCTAAATTGGGGTTTTCAACCATTTTTTTTTTACTTACCATTAGTCCAGACCAGAACCAAAATGACGTCATGCTCTTATGTTTCGATCAATGTGATTTTCGAAGGCTCTGATGTGAGAAACGAAAATCTCAGGAGCGTCGCCCAACAATTTAGTACCCTTTAGTAATCGAGGAATACGCATTTAAGGTGATGTGAAGCACGTCGAGGAACTTGATCGATATCGCTAAAAAAGATTTTTCGAAATACCTACGCTGCTGACGTTCGTTTCTATATTGACAAGTGTGTCGAATTATATTGGGTATTGTACTAAATAGCATATTCCACCTGTCGTTTTCGTATAATAATTATAAAGAAATTGAAGTAAAACTCCAGAAATCCTCTGGATTCATGGTTTCTAATGTCCTAATTGACTGCAGAGTGACACCCTGCGCCGTCTGTGATTTCCGTATCAACTGAAATTTCACTCTGAGGCCTCAGATTACCATCGTTTTAGTATAGCAGCGTGTCAGACATTTTTTTTACCTTTATCCCGCTCAAATGCCAGTTTATCAGTTACCAAAGTGTTCTAACTTGCCGTCCAATTGTCCTCACACTTTCGTTTCTCATGTTAGAGCTTTTAATAATTGTATATTTATCGAGATATGAGCGCTCGACGCCATTTTGTTTTTCACTTCACTTTAAACGTGATAAAGACAAAAAAGTGACTTATGAGCTTCATTGCCTCAGGGAAATAACCCTCACAAAAACACTTTCTGTGTAAAATAAAAAAACACCGGCAAATTCATCGTTTCATGCAGAATTATTTTATGATAATGTTTCCACAAAATAACGTTTGAGCTCACAAAAGGCATCAAATCAATCACTTTTGCCAAATTCGTGTATTGTTGCATGCAAAATCAAATTTGATAAAATCATCTACAGAGCAACAATTGTGCGCACAAATAAACGTGTTTCGTTTCATTTTAAAGTCACGGATCGAGTATTTCGACGGAGCAAAATGTGATCTTGAAAATCATTGGAATAACGTGGCGGATGACAGATGGCTCTGAAAAATCTGAAAAAATTATAGGGGCTTCGGAATGTAACGTTTTCAAGTTATGCCTAACGTGAATTCATTATAAATTCTATTAACTGAATTATAAACATTTATCCGCTCGAAGGGCCGAAATTTGGCGCAAAGACCTCGCGCATATACAGGGTGTTACAGAACTCGGTCACGGTTTATACACCGCTATTCTTGTTGAAAAAGGAGTCAAAAAGTCCTGTACTATTTTTTTCCTATAGTGCATAAATTCCTTGTAAAAAGTAATTCAAGTACAGCCCACAATCAATGGCTTTCCCGAACGGAAGGTATAGCGGAAAGGACGCCGGTAAGACTGCGTTCGGCTGTCTGCGGCGTAGCTGCATTCCCGGCGTCCTCTCCGCTATGCGTTCCGTTCGGGAACGTGATTTATTGTCTGTGCTTCAATTAATTATTAAAGGAAATTTATGCACTGTAGGAAAAAATAGTACAGGACTTTTCGACTCCTTTCTCGACAAGGATAGCGCTATATAAACCGTGAGTACGAGTTCTGTATATGACGTAGATTTATACCTATGAATTTATGCATGTGTTTGTAATTTGGTGCAAAATTCTACTGAGTTTCTTAATGCTGAACCTTCTATTACCGGCTGAAAAACGATTTCCGAGTTCACAAAAATAGGCTTGATAAAATGCGAAATGATTTTCCAAAATGATATATAGCTAACAGATTAATCGACCTCCGATTGAAATTGGAAAAAAAAAATAAAACTTTGTAGATTCTATCATCGCTCAAACTGTCACTTGCGACAAATCTATGTCCAAATAAAAGCACTTGAGATCTGCTCACGTTTCTAATGACCGTACATCTATTAAAAAAAAAAAATGGTAAATCTGTAATGAACCAATTCCAAATAATTTTGTAACGAAAAAAAAAAAAACAGTGGTCGTTTTACACGTGTCATTCAAAATCCTACAACACACGTAAGAATGAACAATATTCAGCTCGGAGTTATCAACACAGATGACAATGTTATATCCTTCTAATATAATAAATATACTACAGTGTACTGATCTAGGAGAGAATACATAATTGAACAGTATTTGATGAGTGGTTGTCAACGTTTTCTTTAAACTTATTCGAATTTCAATACAGAATAGGCAATAATAAGTAATAACTGATCGTAATACTTCGCGTCGTCTGTGGAGTGACTGTCGACTTCAGCTTTCCCTTAACAGACAGAAGCAAACATTACCCTACGAGTTCAGCCAAAGAATTCAGAAGTTTCATAGAAGCTCAGATCATATGTCTGCGCTAGAGTTCTAAATCCAGTAAGTTACGTCAGAAACGAAGAGAAATTCCCGGTAACTTATCGGTAATTTCTCCAAAGCCTTTTTTATCGAGAAATTATGAGAATTTGAATTTTTCAACAGATCGAACGAGAGGTTTCGATTAGCTATAGAGAAACATCGTAGAGGGGAATTTCCGTTGTACGTTCTCCGTAGCCAATCAAAACCTCCCATTCGCTTCGTCGCAGAATGAAATATCAGTTCATTTGAAACAAATCGCATGGAATTTTCCGTGAAGTTGTAGATACGTGAATATTTTTAGCTGGAGGCAAATACGACCCTATAATCAATATTTTCTAATAGTAATTATTACTCTATAGCTTGAACTTTGAAGTTGATTGAAAAAAAAAAGTTATTTAAACGAAGAAACCTAAAGTATAAATAACAAAATTAACGTTCTCTTAAATTCTCAATGTTCCCAGTGACTTACGGTATGTTTCACAGTTACCTTCTCCAATTTAATGTTACCGAGAACTTTCGAACTCTAGTCAGCGCTTGATATTCTAAAAGTTGGCTAACAAACCAGGAGTGGAGGTAGAAAAGATATCGCATGTGTTAGCCAACAGTATCTTTCATACGGGAGGAAGAGAGATGCATATAGAAAGGCGAGTTCTGTGTGTAAGAAAGAAAGAATGCAATCCGCTATATATCGCCGTAAGATTGAGAGACGGAGAGATGATTACAGCGCCGCCATCCATTGGCTAACGTACTATTTATCGAGCATCAAACGTCCGTATCCTTCTGGGCTTCTATGGAGACATCAGAATTCTTTGGTTCAGCACTAATGTTGCATACCACTCCGCATGTTCCCACAGTAACTTCACGTACCACAGTCTCACAGCGTTATCCAACGGTTATTTCGTGCGTCGATACAGGAGAAACTTTCCGTCAAAATGCACTAATTTCATCACTCACTAATAGATATGGTAAAATATCTTAACTGATTTTTTTCATTATTTTACAGATTGGGGATCCTCCTACCCATAATAATAGGAGCAACTATTATTGTGTTGTTGATCGGATGCTGCATCTCATGTTTATGCTGCAGCTGGTGCCCATGGTATCGCAGGCGCCATCGCGGCACCGTTTATGGTCGTAAGGGCTTTGTCTGAAAACAGACTTGTATTTAATAATATTCAATTCTCGTTGAGATGAAAAATTCTGTAATTTACTTCCATTTTGTAATTCTTTATTTATATTGACGCTATAGTTTATCTATGTTATTATTCAAAGAATATTTGTTTTTCGTAACAGAGACAGCCGAGACAAATATTTCTTTTTTACAAACGTTGATACTGATAGTAGAAGTTTAATATTCCATATTTTTTTTAACTGAGCATATATTTTCTTTGTATTATTTGTATACCATTGCATGGTAGCTTAATTTAATGAAATGTTTATTTAACGAATACATCTCCAGTCCTAATATAAAAGTAATTTCAGTTATAACGGTGATAACTAAGTATTATTAGTCAATGCGGAAAATAATGGAAAATTTGTGGTTGTTTCTGGATAATGATGTTGCATAAATTGAAATTTATATATGATTAGTCTCTATACTTTTCTTCAAAACTTTGGAAGTCATTAATTTTTTGTGCATTCTTTTTTTTTTTAAGTTAACATATAGTAATATAAATTTGTCGGCGATAATAAAATCGCAAACAAATGTAATTGCTTAAATTGAGTTCGAGTTGAGTTCGAGCCTCCGGGAATTATTTTCAAATATTATTTAATTCAAAGGGTCGTACGAATACACAGGCGTGAGAATACAGAGAGGTTAATAAAGTTCGGTAACACGTGACAATAACAACCATTTTGGAATCAAGCGTTCAAAATATATTGTATATAAATTTTACAGTATAACTGCCACTTGCTCTTGACAGGCTGATATCTTTGACTATGTAAGTATGGACTGCTAACCAGGGGGCTGACACTCGCATGTTATTCTTCGAGACCAGTGTTTGCAGCGACCTCTGGATCAATAGTACCGGAAGTATGAACTAGCAAATTTCCCGCTATAAATTTAAATTGAATGAAATTCAAAAACTGTTATTTAAGAAAAAATTATCTAATATTACTGTAAATTTTGCAGTTAATAAGGTTAGGTAACTTATTAGCTGAAAATCTCACAGATATAATAATTTCTTTCCAAATTCTAACTTTTTAATTCAGTTATAATCATTTCTTATCAATGATAAATTTTAAGTTAATGCAATATGATTTGAAATCATTATTTTCAGATCGATCAGGTTCGTAATATGAATAAATATGAATAATAATGAGATAAATTAAAAATTTTTCTAATAATCTATGAGTTTCAAAGAAACATAACCCATAGTAATGTCATTTACATTCTACTTACCAAGTTACATATATCTATATATGTACATAAATATACCTTCTTACGGTGTTCCGTTGTATTTCTATTCGATGATAACGATGATAATTTATAGCAACTTTAAAATATATTTACAAAATCAATACGTTATTGGGAACGAAATGAGAACTAGTTTTCCTTTTTTTGTAATAAGGAACGCATTGAATGTCCTGGGTTTCTTTCGTACAGAAATAAAAACACACTTTTTCTAGTAATTATTTATTGCTAAAGTTTGTTACATTCTCTATTATTAAATCTATTACTGCTATTACAGGTTATTTCAAATTTTGATGATTAAGCGTATGAAAATTTTAAATAAACAGAAGAAGGTAGGTTGAGTAGAAAGTAAAAAATGAAAATCATAGACGTCACCAGGGTACTACAGGGTTCTGAAGAAATAATACAAATGTCATTGGTTAATGAGTAACGCGCAAGCGCAAAATTAGTTCTTAACTTCCGTCTACTAGGTCAGATGGCGCTGCAAACACAATTTAATTTCTCCGATTAGAGTGTCACCCCCCTGCTGCTAACTGCTCGTATTTTATCATGCATAAATAGCTCGAAAAGCGAGACCAACATGAATGTAGTGCAGGTCCGAGTCCTAAAGAAAAAAGGAGGGAAATTCAAATATAATTGTTTCGATCGAGATAATATAATACATGGGGTCGGTTCTTTAAGTCAAGGAAATACTACAAAATAAGCTACTTTTGGAACAACATTACCTCTATGCATTTTTCATTTGGGTTCAGAGCGGTAAGATGTCCCGAAATTTATAACGAAAATAATTTTGTTGAGCACCTGTGGAGTTTTACTTCCAAATGCTATTCCACGTATACTTAATTCTTGATATATTTTGAAATCCACTTTACAGCTTGACGTTGCAGATGAAAGGTAGTTTAAAAATAAGATAGCATTGAATCTGGTGTGATCGGTTAATCCCTTACCTTATAATGGTATTTTTGTGTCTTTCTTTTTATTTTTACTCTATATTGTGTAATGACAACCGTGAACCCATCAGTAGTAGTCCATTTTCCTTAATTAAGTGCAAATCTATTTCGTTGAGAATTTAAATTAGAACTCCGGGGTAAATGAAATCGTTATTTATTAGTTCATGACGGCGTTGATATCCTAGCAACATGTGTGAAGTTGGCAGCTAACAGTCCATACATTTATAGTTAAAGGATCATACTAGCCAAGGCTATTTTTCCATCTTGAGCCGAGTAACAACTTATCCTGACTGTAATATTTAAATTTGGAATTGAATTTAGTAGTAATTCAATAAGTAGTGATAAAATAAGCTTTACTTTTTGAAAAATGTAATTTTTTAGATTAGATTATTCATTTTTTGTATGCTAATCTCTAATAAATGTAATAGAAGCGATTTTAAAAGGATTTTGAAGATGTATGGACAATGAAATTTAGCATTCGGGAAGATGAAGAATAACCTCAAAGATTGGCAATTTATGACATTAATGTTGCTACATTGTGGAGTCATGAAGAAATAATGACGTGGGAAAAATATTCGAAATTTGATAATATGGTTGTATAATAAATTATCACAAATCTAATTTTTATGGCAGATTAACCCTTTGAATTAATGCCATGACAGGACAGCAAATAACAGATTCCTATGGATTTCTATGGAAAGAGATCTCTTTTTCAAGGGTTCCATTGCTTGAATTCCAATGAATTAAATGTGGAGTTGTTGCTTAAAAACTTTTAAAAGAGAGGCAATTCCAATGTAAAAATGTAATTAACGGACTCTAACAAAGTGAGGTTATATCAATAGGGTCAGGGACTTTGTCGAGCTTGAAGGTCGGTTTCAAAATTTAATGTGTAGTTGTTGTTTAAAAACTTTTAAAAGAGAAGCAATTTCAGTGTAAAAATGTAATTAACGGATTTTGACAAAGTGAGGTTATATCAATAGGGTCAGGGACTTTGTCGAGCTTGAAGGTCGGTTTCAAAGAGGATTAGATAGAGCGGAAGGTCCCATAAGGCCACAATGTATTTTTCCGTATACGAGTTTCGGCGCTCCCTCGTGGTTCTAATCACAAACTAAATACTCCCACCAGGAAACTAATCCCATTCAACCACCCTTTCCAGAAAATCTAAAGCCAATCTTATTCGACTGGAATGTAAAAAAAATACACGTAAATAAAGCACACATGAAATTGACATATTTTATTTAATATTGAATGTAACATAAATAACATGCTTGACGGAGTTTCCATCCATTATCCACGCCATGCAAATTATCTGCTCCGAATAAGGGATCGCGAATCCCTTTACGATCATATTTCAATTCGAGCGGCCTGCTTTAATTTGTTTAGTGAGTGCCAGGTATGAAAAGTCACATGGTGAGCTCCGCGACTGGCCCGACTCTGAAACATGGGCGAATATGCTATCGTCAGGCAGCTCAACCCCGTGAGACCCTTAAGGTGATATGAAAGACGATGAGATATTTAATCGACGACGATAAAATAAAATTCATGTATACCCTTTTCGGTGGTAGCACTATTCCGAATACTTAAGTGGTAACATAAGCTGGCACGCCCCATTACCGACATTTATATTTATGTTGAAGTCTTACAGTCTACATTGAGTCTACATTAGTATTACATTAGTCTACATTACTATTTGTTTTAACTTCGCCATGGATGCGTTCGTACCGAATAGTCTGACGTGTGGTCCCTAATAATTTTGATTGGTTTAAAATTTGCCGCCGGAGGGGGCAGTTTGTTCACTGTGTCCCTCAATTGGGATTTCGTTTCTTTGTTGTATACTGATGGGTTTCTGAATACATGGCTGTTTTTGAGTTTTTTTGTGGTTTAATATGACAATGGGGCTCGTTTCCAGTCTTATTTCTTCCGCGAACTTCTTGAAGCTCTCTCTTCTATTTTTGGGTAAGATGCGTTTTGCTTGTTTTGCCTTTTAATTGTATTCCCGTAAGTCTTAGGTTTCTCGTTCCATTATTTATTCTTATCGGACGGTGGTCACTGCCATGGGAATCGTCCATTGTGTTCCACTCCCATTCGGAGGCTCTCTCCGCTGTTGCGACGGTCAGGTCCGGGGCACTGGTCCTCTTTTCATTCTTAACCCTTTGCACTCCGTTGTCCCCTCTGAGGGGACATTTTAAGTCTAAATGGGATGGCGCGGAGTGCAAAGGGTTAATATCTATCCTTGTTCTTGGTCCTTCATCATCTCCAAATTCGTGTTTAAGATTGCTTCTTTCCCATTCTGTTTGATTTGCTTGAGCCCCATTGAGGGTTTTGGGCGTTGAAGTCCCCACAGATAATTATCCTACTGGAGAGGTCTATATTTTCGATGTATCAGGAATTTAATCCAATTGCTGTTTGAGAGGACAGTGTTTGGGGGAATGTGGGCAGAATATATCACGAGCTTTTTTGCGGTACCATTTTCCTTTATTTGACATCCTACAATCTCTATACCTTCAGTATGATTGTTGTTCATGTCTAGGTCTAGTTCCTCGTAATTGATGGTTGTTTTAATTCCTATTAGAACTCCTAGAGATACCAAGATCCGGTCCCTTCTAATGAGATTGAATTCATTGATGTTTACCTTTTCTGACGGGTTTAACGCTAAACCTACGACCGGCGGGTCAAATTGACCGGCTTAAATGGTATCTGCAATGGGGATATAAATCGTCGGTAGGTTTAGTGTTAACTAAGTTTCTGAAAAGCAGATAATATCTGCGTTT